ACCTGGAGAACTCAGGTCCCAGATGTCTCAGAATTGATGTCCCACATTAGTGGATACCTTTCCCTTCAGTTTCTGTCCTTAATATTTTTGTGTTGCTTTCTTATTTGTCCAGTGTGGAAAATACTCCTTCCCTTTATAGCATTGTAGAGACTTCATGGCTATAAAATCCTCTTTGATATTTTGATGAGATCTACATAAAACTGACATAGAAATAATTTATACCATGCAGGAAATGATACGGCACAGTAGACAAGAAGTGTAGTCACGAAATACCCAACAGCAAGACTTAACAGAAATATTGCATAGTTTGCTCAAGTAAAAAGTTTTGATCCATATTTCCAAGAGTCATCTGAAATTGTGTATATAACCAGACTTTTTTTTTTCCCCCCCCTTTTGGTTTTGCTTGAGTGTTAAATAGTCAGCATGTTCCACCGACACTTGTATATATTGCTGTTTGCTTGGGCTCACTGGAAGGAAAATTAGGTATGATCTCTGTAGAACACTATTAAAACTGCATCTGAAACAAGATCTAAACCTTATTTTGTCCAGGAGTGAATTGTAAAGGTTTTTCTGTTTAGCTACGATCGTATTATTAGTAAAATTCGGAGGTGCAAAACTTCCTACTTGGTTTCAGTTCTGCAATCAACATGAATTGGAAATGGACAATAAACTATTGTCCCTACTACTGAATTTCCCCTTTCCCTCGGATAGGTGAGGGTCTCGTTTTGAAGGGAAATGTTGGGTGAAATCCTGATTCCAGTCAGGTCAATGGTAAAAAAAAAACCCAAACCAAACAAAGACTATTGAAGTCAGAGAGACAAGGGTCCCCTGAAAATCCAGTGCCTTCCTTTCATCAACCAGCTGCTTTTCTCATTGAAGATGGCAGAAGGGCTGTAATCTGTGAAATCACATTTTTTAATATTCCTTTGCCTAGGAAAGTGCAGATAAAACTACAGCTTTATACTCCGCCCTCCATAATAGTATTAGACAAAAAACAGGCAGAAACATGATCTTCTATATAACTAATCAGAATCTTTTGCTGTCTCCGTACATATTTTTCCCAGGGTGCTAGGATGGTAAATATTTTAGCAGAGGGAATTAACTCTACTTCTCTTCCTTTATGTTCTGTTATCAACGGCACTAGCCCACACCCTCACTTTGCCTCATTTTTGGCTCTGTTTCTAAACCCTAAAATTCCTGTTCCTGCATTGAAACACAATTAAATTGAGGCTTAATGTGGTGCCTGTTTTATGTAATCTTGCTTTCTGGCTTTTCTTATTCTTCCAAGTCTGAATCTCATGAATCAATGTGTATTCACGTTTCATCTGAAATTTTCTAACTCTCCTCAGTATGTCCTAAAGCTTCCCTTTTTTGGTTTATGAAATAATAATAAAAAGCTTAACTCTTCAGATTAAGTTGTAACTGCTTTATACATTAGACAGACAATTTCAGTTTAACAAAGTAAAAATGGTGTGAGAGAGAAATTGCAGCTTGATTATTTTTTAAAATATTCAGATTAGAATGTCATTTTTTATGAGTTTTTTTATAACCGCTTAGATTGATACAACTCTCTAAAGCTGCTCTGTTTTTCATCACACATTCTCATCTGTAAAACCTTCATTTTTATTAATCTTTGTACAATCTGTACAACTTTGAGATTAATCATTTTAAAAGAGCTACTCTCCGAGTGTTAAGGATTTGCTGGGCTAATGGTAAATGCAAGCGCTTCTAAATACAACACATAGCGCTTGCTTAGCGTTTTATGTTGCATAAGTATCAGTCTTTGTTTCCCAGTTATCTAGCGTTACGTTTTATGGCTATGTTTCCAGGTCTGTTTCTGGCTGCCTAGATCCAGAGAACAAAATATACTGGGTCCTTTTTTCACCAACTAACTCCATGAATTCTAAATATTTATAGTCCGGTTCTGCCTTTGTACAGTTCCCATTGAAGTTAGAGCAAGTTGTATATTTACAAGTAAAGGCAGAACTGTGAGGCCAAATCCTTCAGCCCTTGCTCGAGCAAAAAATTTCTGTTGGATCCTGGCAGGCCAGTTTGGCTGCATCTGGCCTTGCTTAGTTCTGACTCTTTTTAGGACTTGTGGCGGGATCAGCCTCGTGCCTCTCCTAACTATAACTCGGGGCCTTACTGGCAATTTTTTTTTTTTTCCTTTTCTTCTTTGGTTAATTCAACTCTTCCCCCCTTGATTATTGCCCTGGCCTTAGCTGAACTTCTCCTGGGGGCTGCTCAGCCCTTGGGGCAGGGGAAGACGCAGCGTAGGAGCTTTGGCCGTGCTCTCAGCCGTGCTCTGAGCGCACTTGCAGCAGGGCAGCGAGCGGCTCCGCTGGCAGTTCTCCAGGCTGCCATGGTGTTGCCTGAGCCGCCCGTCCTGCTGGGAGAGAACGTGTGGGTGCTGGTCCCAGAAGCCTGCCTCTCCTGAAGTATCAATGTTTACCTACCCTGGATTGTCACTGTTCATCTGAATAGCGCAGTATAATCTCTAAAGTGTCTTTTAAATTTATAATGTGTATAGTGTTAGTGGATCTGGGGTGTCCCGAGTACACATTGCAATGCTTTGGTGGAGATCTAGGCTGTTATCTAGTCCTGAGAATCTAGTGGGACAATTTTTTATTATTATTCTTATGGATTTGGTGGCCTAAGCATATGAGGCATTGTCTCTTTGCCTGGTTAAACATAGAGTGCCTGACTAGAAAAGATGAAAGTTAAGGAATCTCCTACTCTCTTAAGATTTCCATTTACTTAATGTACTGCAGGTATAAATTTATCATCAGTTCCTTGAATTGCTCATGTATGTGGGATTGCATCCGATCCTTATCTCTTGTTTGCGATAAAGCAGGTGTTTGAGTTTCAGTAAGGTGCTCAGAGGGCTGGAGCACCTCTCCTATGAGGACAGGCTGAGAGAGTTGGGGTTGTTCAGCCTGGAGAAAAGGCGGCTCCGGGGAGATCTGATTGCGGCCTTCCAGTACTTGAAGGAACCCACAGGAAAGATGGTGAGGGACTGTTTATCAGGGAGTGTAGTGACAGGACAAGGGGTAACGGGTTTCAGCTGAAGGAGGGTCGATTGAGATTAGATGTTAGAAAGAAATTCTTTACTGTTAGAGTGGTGAGGCACTGGAACAGGTTGCCCAGAGAGGTTGTGGAGGCCCCATCCCTGGAAGTGTTCAAGGCCAGGCTGGATGAGGCTTTGGGCAACGTGGTCTAGTGGAGGGGGTCCCTGCCTGTAGCAGGGGGTTGGAACTAGATGATCTTTGAGGTCCCTTCCAACCCAAACCATTCCATGATTCTATGATAATGTATTTAGGAGATTTATATCGGTTCTTCTATAGTGCTTTTATTTTAGTATATAAATTGCAGCAATGTGAAACAAGCCAACTGTGCAAACTGTGGTATACATTTTGTGGCACACATCTTGGATGCATTGAGTAAAGAGACTGGAAGAAAAAAAATTGTATTTCACAATAAGGTTACTATCGATGCAGAGTGAAGGTTGCAGTTCAAGAGACCAGTGGTGTAGGGACGATTTGTGAGAACTCCTCCTTCAGTGTTCCAGTTTCTCCACTGACTGGAAAGAACATTCACGTGTTAATTCCTATCTCCCTGAAGATCAGATTATTCCATAGCACTTCATAGTGAATAAATAGTATTGTAAGCAAGAAATCTCACATGATCCATGTGGCTGTCATCATCCCTATGGCCACGCTGAGTACCAGCCAATGTTGATGGAAATGTGCCCAATGTAAATGGGAACTAGGGTTCCTGATTATTAAAGCATCTCTCCTAGGGAGATGGTTAAGTAGATGGGTGTTCATTACTTAGTATATTATGGGTCAAGAGGCTCAGAAAACAGATTTTAATCTTCAAGGCTTCATAGTTGTATGTATAGTTTTAGTGAAGTATATCTAGAAATAACGGGAGAAAATATGAAAAAGGCTGAATGTTGAGGCAGGCTTCCCAACTGTGTAATAAAGATGGAGATGGAGATCATCTGGTGGATACCTCCCATTCATAGAGCCATTCCTTAGGGCACAGACACAGTGGTGTTCTGCTTCTTATTCCTGGGAGGAATTATTTCAGAACTGACTGGTCTTTACAAAACCGGTTATCACTGAAAGATGGAAACCATGTATGTGAATTTGGAGGGAAAGTTAGGCTGTGCTTTGTGGTATAAGCTTTTACTGTGTATTCCTGTTCCTCCTTCTAAAGTTTCTGTCCTGGGAATTCTTCTTATCTAACTTTGTGTCTCTTGTTTATTGCAAGGTGTAAGGTTGCTAGCACAGGCATGAATGAGAGGTTTCACGGTTACTCAGGGTGACTAATGCTGAAGTTTGTATTTACCCTTGATTCGCTGCTACATTATAGATCAGCAATAGCTTCTACTGCAGAACATCCTCCTGATAAATGGTAGTTCTTATTTAATTTCTGTTTTAAAATGCACTGTTTAATTTGTGATTAACATGGCTATCACCATGGGTTGGGTGCTTTTCAACCTTTTCTTTTTTAACATCTATGGACTTGCTGCCTTTCAACAGAGAGGAAAATTTGATGCTGGTGAGGAACCTGAATTGAGCAAATGGTCATTTATTACTTGTATTAGGGAACAAGAGGCCACATCTGGGCCCTGAGCAGAGAGGAGACCCTATTTAGCTGGACATGGTACATATCTAGAGAAGAGTTTAATCCATTTAAATCAGATAATGGTATCTTCCTTAATCCATTTAAATCAGATAATGGTATCTTCCTTTCTCTATTATTACAGATAATACTACAGATCAAAGATGCTTTCTTGCCACCACCCTAGAACTTATTTCATTATGATCACCTGTTTGCCACTTAAAATTGAGATAAACAGAGCATACCTTCCTAAAAGGTGTAGCCTTTGATTTGAATAGCCAGGTGGAGCCAGGGTTTGAATCTAGTATTTTAAGCAGCAAAGGACTTGACCCAAAGGAACACATCTACCAGGTGGGAGCCTGCAAGCCGCTATGGCGACGAATAATGAGGAACGTGACCCACATGCTGCAGTAAGATTTGCAAATACTGCTCCCCTCCTGTTTAGTGAGGCTCACAAACTGTTTAGACATCTCCCGCATTCCAGTTCCACTGGCTGTTCTGCAAATCACTTAAGAGGTTTAAAACTTCCTTGTAATTCTACTCTGCACATGAACTTTGAGTGAAGAGAAAGGAAGGACCAGTGAAATGAGAGTCTGGGCCTCAGGGACCCCTTCAAATTGCTATTGCAAGCATTTGGCAAAGACTGGGATAACATCCTATGTATCCATCTTTGTCCCTAGCTGTGTGCCCTTGGGCTTTGTTCTGGGCTTTCTAATTTCTAGTGCAGTGTAAAACATGAACACTTACCGTTGCCAATTTGTATTAATACAGGTGGCAATGTACACATTAAGGTAACATACTAATTTAAAAAGAAAAAAAAATTTGGTTGCAAACAGGAAACACAGCAATGTTTCTAACATTCCGTACAGGAGAATGTAGGATTTTGAAGAATATAATTAGATAAAACACATAGTTGTGGCACCCTCAAAACACAACAAAGGTTACAAATGTTTAAAATTATTGTGATGATGCTGCATGAGGAATCTTGAAAATTTATACCTAGTAGGAATAGGCTGGTTTTGTTTTTTTATTTTATTTTTGTAAAGGGTTAATTTGTAGCGCATCCTGCAAGCTGATATGTGGGATAAATAGTTTGGACACTGATTTGTAATCTCTGTTTATGAGTACATGACTGCTATTCTTATAAATGTCATCACTTTCTTGGTAGTATCTGGTGATATCTGAGTCATGAGGTGCTGACAAAAATCCACTGCACTTAATGTGAAACTTGAGGCATTTTGCTCATTCCAAAAGATATTAGCAATAGCCAGTCCCACATTTAACTGATAAATAATGTGTACATGTGCACATGACACAGTTATGCTGCTATGTGGATTTTTTCCTCTTACCTAAAATTTTTGTGGAAATACATGAGTTCAAATCATGACAATTTTTTTTTTTTTTTTTTTTTTTTTACTGAGCTGTCTTAATGGATACTAATAGATGTATGTATGGAGTCAGCGCATTGTGCCAGCGGAAGCAGATCCATACAAAGGCAGAGCAGGCTTCCTTTGGTGAATTTGGACTTGGATATCCTGGCTATAAAAGCTAACTCTGCATATGTTATCACTGTCTTAAGAAATGAAACCTCTCACATGGAGCTGAGTACTGAAAAATATTTCATTTTTCCATTATTCCCCTCTTTATTTACAGCCATACAACAGGATATGAAAATGAGAACCACAGTGCTCCCATGTTATACAGCTGTGGGGCCCAATACAGAATACACACCCATGGAGTTTTTAGAGGCATACAAGTGAGTATAGTAGGGCATTCTTCATAGGGAAGTAAAATTGCTGCCTGTTTATAATGTTTATTTAACACTTCACTAGTATTTACAAATCCATCCTTGATTTGCGGCTTCCCTGTGTTATCAAGAAATGCTTTACATAAGCGTCCTGACTGCACTGAAGCCATTGAAGTATAATGTGAGATTCTTTCTGAGAGTAATTTAAAATTGTTTATTTCTTCTTCTGAAGTATATCTGTGAGGCAATATTCCTCACCAGCTTCTCAGGATGGTCCAAAATATATGATCTAGTTTCCAACTTCTAGCCCCAATCACTTTGGCCAGGTGAAGCTTTTTGTGGTTACAATGGACTGTGTGTGATAACTATATATAAGAAAGTCTTAGATGACGTTTTGCTTTTATGGATTTCTGAAACTTTACTAATTCAAACATATTTCCTTAAAACAAAATATAATAAATGATTGTTTCCTAGTGACTAAGTAATTAATGAATATTTGGAAGGAACTTACCATTCATGGGAGTTAATTTCCTCCCTTTCTGAAACAGTCATATCATCGATAAATACCACTGTAAAAGATATATCTTCTTAAAACTGATGGCAAAGTCATTACATAATATTTGTCTCTTCTGTGTTGTTCTGTATTGTCAACATACATCAATGGTTTTAGATAGCATCTTTTCTCCTTTTCCTTTTCTGTATAGTTTAACAAGTCATTATTCAGTGGCAAGCTCTCAGAAATAGGCTTCTGAGCCAGCTTTTGTTGAGTGAATAAAAGTAAGCAGTTGACATTGTTTAAGGAAGTTAATTATCCCAGAAGGAGAAGATCATCTTCCATGGAACTTTGCAACAGTGGCCAAAATGCATTAAGGCTGAACTATTCACCAGCTCCACCTAGATGGTCTTTCTTGTTTTGTTTTTTACCAATTTGTATTAACCCAATACATTAACTTCCATGTCCTTTAACTTCATATGATTATTTAAAATAGAGGAGAATGCTGCTCTGGCTGATGCTTGTGCCTCTCGCACTGTAATAGGCCTAAAACTATTTCATATGCCAATGAGTCCTCTTCCAGGATTGTGTGATTATACGTGAGGTCAGAATGTGGCCCATTTTATCTTGCATATAAATATTGGTGAGAGAATTTAATAAGTAGAGTTCATTGTATTTCACCTTCAAATAATTTTAATACTCTGCAAAGAAAAGATTAAGGTATACTAAGGTTGTACTTCGTTAATGTAGAATAAAATAAAATTGCCTGTTTGCAGTATAATATATTTAAGTATTCTTTGTCCTGGAGAAGTCCCTCTGATTGTTGTTTGTCTTTGAATATGTTAAGGAAAAGCTTGAGTACATACACGTTGCATTAGCAAGTCTCTGTCATTGTAGGATGTCCGACGGGTGCCAGGAGTAGCTCCAACTATTGTCCGATCAGCAAGTGAGACAAATGAAAAACGTCCCTTCATGTGTGCATACCCTGGCTGTAACAAGCGATACTTTAAGTTGTCCCATTTACAGATGCACAGCAGAAAGCACACTGGTAAGTGCCAGCATGGATTGGTATAAATCACGTTACAGCACTGGACAGCAAGGTGGGTAGGGGGATTTTAAAATTGCATAAGGTGCAAGAAATGATCTGCCAGGTCAGGGGCAGCGGGAATCTGTCAGATGAGGTATGTATGTGCTCTGTCATCTGGGCAATCCCTCTTTTGGATGCAGAAGACTCTGAATCTAGTGAAGGAAAACCCAGAGCAGTGTTGACAGCAAGTAGATCACGTCCTTCCCTCTCTTACTATTATAGGGCATAATTCAGGGCTGTGACTTTTTTATTTTATTTTTCTTTTTTTCATTTGGGAGTGTCAAAGCTTGCTCCAGATCTTAACTGTTGTTAACTATAATGCAGTCTCCTCTGCAAGAGAAACCTAGACATTTAGCATCCTCTTGTCCTCCTGAGTAAGCCTTTTCTGGTTGGAGGTGGAGGCATGTATTGGCAAATGAGCTTCCTTGCTATGGGCTCTCTCCATGAAGAGTTGAGCCTGAAGCCAGTCATTTGTGGACTGAGATCTAGACTCGCTTTGAGTTCAGGCAATAGAAGTTACATCTCAAAATGTGGAAACCGAACGTCCTGCTGCACCTTGCCAAAGAGTAAACAGAATTATTTCCCCTATTGGGGGATGTATATTTATATGTATAATTATGATTTACTTTTAGATATGCTCCTTATGCATTTTTTATTGCCTATCATATTTTTATATAGACAGTTTTTTCCGTGCTAATCTAGAAATCTGTGGATATAATCTGTAAATATGGATGCTCGGTTAACTATTAATATGATGGAAAGTCAAAGGGATGAAACAGACAACAGAAAGGCAGTCCATACTGCTGTGACCTAGCAGATTGCCTAACATTTCATAAAAAATAGTTGCAAACTTTTCCTTTTGGGGGCCATGTGGTGGCATTAGTTAATTGTGTAAAATACTTACAGGTAAGAAATGAACATTACAAAGCATTTTTAATTTCTGAGTGGGCAAGTCACAAAACATTCAGACAGACATCTTCAGTGTTGCTTAAATTACACATTCAAGATAATTTAGATTGTAGCTGGAATTTAGTCTTTAGAGCTGGAAGTCTACAGAAATGCTATTCTATTTTCTGTTAATAAATTGGAAACAGAAGAAAATTTGGAGATCTTTTGGGGTCCATTAACTGTGGTATTTTTCTTAAGTATGCCTAAACTGTTTTGAATTTTTCTTATAATCACTATTTCTTTCATTCTTAAAGTGATTTACTCTGTATTTTAGCAGCTGTAATTTGTTTGGTTTGGTCCTGTATTTTATTCCATTTAGTTGCTTGGCTTTCACAATATTATTTCTGGATCCATCACAAGGACTTCAGCTTACCTCTTTTTTTTTTTTTCCTTAACCAGAGAAGATTTCCAGCATTATACCACATATAATCTAGGCCTGTAGAGTCACAAAAGCCCCAAAAGTCATAGACAATAGGACTATGGCCATCTAGCATCCCTAGAGAGGCTTCTCCCATTGTCTTTGAGGTCATACATGCCCCTCCTTTGGTTTATGCTATAGTGGAACAGGGTAAAGGAAAAGCATTTTTTCCCCTCAAACATCTTGTCTGTACAGGTGGGCCCAGATCTTTCTGCCATTATGTTTTGATATGTTGACAACAAAACTTACTCATTTCTCAAACCTTTGCAAGTTGCTTTCCATAAGAGGCCAACTTGATTCCGACAGCTTGTATTTGCTGATACAAACGTTGCTGTTGATAAGACCACGTAAGCTTTTGAGGTTGGTTGCAGCTAAAGAGAGGACGCAAGGGATAGTGCACGGCAGGTATGAGAATTACTTGAGCAACTTGCCTGCCTGATGCGTTCAGCTTTAGGATCAGAAGGGAGTTCTCCCCTTTGTCAGGCTGGCAGGTTTTTGTCCTCAGCCTGTTGTATGGGTACTAGCCATTTCCTATGATTATTGTCTGGAAATTTTACTTACCAAATTCCCAGCTCCTGTAGAGGCATAGAGTATGATGCCCTTCATTTCTTGTCTCCTTCTGTCTTCTGTTAGTCCTAGTTTTTGGGAGTGCTTGGTGAACTGTACTGTGTGGGAGCATCTGGAGTGGATAGTCTACAAACCCTTCTGAGTTAACATATTTTCTTGGCTGCTTGGTGTGATGGAGATTCCGGACTTGGTGGCCATAATGGTCTTTTTCAGTCCCGTGCTCTTTATGAGTCCTGAGCAGTTGAACTGACTTTTGTGATGTAAATTCATGTCTTTATCTAACCCTGATTTGTGTCTCCTGCTTGTGGAAAAGCTGATTGTTAAAAGCAAAATTTGAAAACCAGTTTTCTCCAAGGGCAGATCAATCATTGCTATGAAGAATGTATGCTTCTTGTTGGTAACAGTTACAGTAGCTACAGATCACACTTCTCTGCACCTTCTTTCTTTTCTCCACTTGCTTGGTTTTATATGTTAGGGCGTATCTTAAGTGGCAGTATCACTACAGTGAGGCTATTGGTTTGTGTTGATAATTTTGTGGCTATCTCTTAGGCTCTCTGATCATCTTTCTGTTTGTAACCCAATGAACTCCAGAACCCCTTCTAGAGTTCTCTACTAGGTACAGAAATCGAACTTCGTGGAATTAGCACATTAGACAGAAAGAAGTTGGCAAACATAACACCTAATATTCTCACTGAACAAAGGGATGTGTCTCTTCTTCTGCTTCAGTATTTTGATGGGTGGGAATCCTGATGAGCCAGTCTAAAGTCAGGAGAGCTGTCAGATGTCAGCTCAAGTGCAGGATGATTTGTTTGTGTTTGGTATACCTGTCTACAGCCAACACAACATTTTACTAGTCCTCCTGTAAGGTGGTTCTGGATTCACTCATGAGTTTGAAGCTCTTCCACCTTTCTTGGTGCACTGGTAGGTCAGTTTTTAAAATCACAAACACATGATTTGAAAACAAGCTGTTACATATATCTAATATTAAACCAGATAGTATCTTTGCAGAATAATTTTGGCTCTTGATTATCTTTTTTCTTTCTATAATAGATACTTGCAGAGGACTGGCTCATCAGATCTTTCATTCTTCACCAGTTGCAGTATTGCAAAATCAAGCAGGCCCCTGAAACACAAAGTTGGATTCTGTAATCAGTTTTTACCAATGTTTCAACGTAGCCTTAGTTGAAAATATGTTAACATTTTGTACCCTCCAAGACTGCTTATCCATTGTTAACAATGCCTTTATTGAAACATGTACAGCCAAAAAAGCTTTTTTCTTATCTTGCTGTATTTTGCTGCAGTAGATAGGGCTCTGAAAGGAAATGCAAAAATACATATAGCTTTTCAACAGTACAGCAAATAATGTGAGTTGTCATCCTGTGGCAGGCTTCAGAGACTACTTTGCAGAAACAAATTGATGTCTAGACCTCCATAAATTTCATTTATGGTGGAAACATCAGCATTCTTGCCAGAGATCCTTTGAATTCAGTGCCACGCATTGGAAAAACTGGATTTATCCTAACGGAAAACTGAGCATTTTTGCAGAAAAAATATCCTCTGCCTGCTTGCCAGGGATATTCTTCAGCCTCGATATGCTCAGCTGCCGGTATGAGCTTCTACAGTGAAGAATGAGAATCTGTAAATCAGGAAGCTTATCCTTTATGTGGTATGGGATTCAGGTCTCGGTGGTGAATTTCTGAGACTCTGAAGGGTATAAGTAATGCAGTCTAATAATTATTTTTATGCTAATCATCTCTTGCTTTGACAAAAGCAAATATCCTTTTGCTACGGCATGTGTCACCGTGCTGCTAAATGCTTTACAGTCATTAGTGCAGTTCATCATTACAACACCTTTGAAAAACAGAGCTATGTCCTCTATATACAGAGATGATAAACTGATAACTGGGTGTAATTGTGCCTGAGCTGGGAACTGCGCAGGCTCTCCTCTTAAGGCTCGTGTGGTAACTTCTAGGATAGCACTCTTTCATTAATGTTGCTTTGAAATAATGATCTTCATATGGAAGCCATGGAATACCATCCTGCATAACGCTGTGGAAGCTGAAAGCGTATGTGGGTTCAAGAAACAACTGCACAAATTAATGGAAAGCAACTGCTGGATGCTAGGAGAGTGTCCACGGAAAGTACTGCTGCATCCTTGCTGCTTCTGCTCTCCTGCAGGCAGCTTTGGCAAGCCATGGTGGGAGACGGCTGGGCTGGATGGACGTTTGGCCTCATCCAGCATGGACTGCTTTTAGGTTTTCATTTCTATGGTATAAAATAAGAATACTTATGTATTTAAAATACAAGATTAGTTTCAGAACTTCTCACACCTGAACTCTGGTGTGAAGATGACAGAAAATGGTACCTGTAAAGGCTCCCTACTAAATAAAGAAATATACATTTTATCAAAGTTTGCTAAAGCAAATTATTTTGAAAAGAAAAATACATTAACAAGGTAAAGTTGTGATTATGTGGTTGTACTCATTTGGTTGAGTATATAGGAAAAGGGTTTTAACTTGCTGAAGACAAGCCTTCAGATTCTCATTCAGACTGCAGGTCTCTTGTTTCAAAATCAGCCTCCTCTCCTGTTTTTGTGTTAGCGGCGGGCAGGCTTGTGTTCTTGCAGCATTCCTTCATTAAATGCAATGATGATGAATATTTTGTGCAACTGCTACAGCAGTAGGAATTTCTGTTTCATTGGCCCATGCATCTGGGCCAATGAATTTGCTCCAGAGAAAATGTGCATGCTTCCTCTAGTTTGAGTTAATTATTTTTAAGCAAAGAGGTTTATTTTATTAGAAGCATTTATTGCGATGTGTGCGAGGCTGATTCACACTTGTTCTCTGATTGTTGAGCTTTATTTTTTCTAAATATTTTCCTAAATATTAAAGAACTGCTGTTCCCTCTGTTCTCTCTCATCTTGACTATTTCATTATGCACCAAGTTTAGCCTTTCTTTTGTGTGCCCTCTTTCACTAATGAAATGTAAATAATTGTGGAAACCTCTGACTCGCAGGTGGAAGGACTGGTGAAGCTTCATCTTCATCTCCTGTTTTGTTTTGAAATTGTATATGGCCTCATAGGAAGGTGACAGTATTATTGGATATTTTTCATATATTAAGAGTCTTTAGTCTTTTACTGGAGAGGGTCTAATAGGCCTGGGGAAACTAGACACTGCTCTAACCCCTCTCTGTGTAGCGATTTGATGAGGTACTAACAGACTCTTTCTAATCTGGGACATTTCTGTTGTCCTGTTCTGATGAAACTTAGGGAAGTTAACAGGTATGTGACAGTTGGCTTTGGCAGGCATTTTGCTTGGCAGTAGCTGGCATGGAAGATGTAAAGGCAAGGGAAATTAGGTTTTCTGTCCAAATATTGTGCCTGGTTTTGTTTGCTTGCTTTTTGTTTTCTACGCAGTGTCATCATATCTCTGTGTAAGCATCTTGGATTGATTCCTTTAATATATGCCTAGGTTAAATTTGTCCTTAATTTAATCAAGATTATAATTCAAAGTATTTTAAGAAATACTTTCATGTGCATGCCATCAGACGTACTATACTGTTTTATTCAAATACCTCCTTAACCATCTTCTGCGTTTATATTGCAATTAGCAGACAATCATCCTGTCACTGCATTCTGCTCTGCTGACATTCCCCCTCTTAAATCTGCCAAAGGGCTGAATTCCTTGGAAGTAAGTGGTTTCTGAAAAGCAGGCACCCCCCAGGGAGTCCTTGCGGTCAAAGTGTACAGAACTATTTCAAACACCTGTGGCAAGTTTAATCCCTTATGCTAATAAATTAAGCACAGCAGACATGGAAATTGTCCACACCTAGGTTTCAGAATCAGTGAAGTCCTTTGGGTGACTGCCACAGGAAGTTAGCTTGTTCTTGCGGATTTAGTTGCTTTTGTAAAATTTTGATCTTAGCCACACCAGAATGAATGTGGAATGCTCTTCTTAATATGCTGCTTATACTGTGTTACCCAGATCAGAAGGCTTCTGCTTTAAACTAAACTAGATTGCACTGGCATTCTGAGATACTATTTCCTCATCATAATAAATTCAGAAATGCAGATACTTGCAATAAAGATTTATGAAAGTGCTATGTGTTTGGAAGTATACCCAGAGAAATTAAACCCACTGCCCACTTCAGCTGATTTTTTTTCTTTGGGTCCTTGTGCTGGACCTTTGTTTTACATCTCAGCTTTCCACTGTAGACAAAGCAGGTCCCAGCTGGTCTAGTGTGTACCTTCCAGATAAAACCCAGGATCCTCCCAGCTTTGCAGCGAGAGATGTTTCATTGGGTCTTGTGCAGAGGCCTCTGCGCAGGGCTGTGGCACTGTAAACAGACTTTATGTAGGTATAAATGTGATTATATCTGAGGCTCTTGCAGGATTTCAGTCCTGTGCAAAGGGGCTTTAGATGCAAATCCTATCTGACAGATCATACAGCTCCTCCTGTAATAGCATATGGATTTGTTTTTTTTTTCTGTGCTGACCAAATTTTCAGCAATTCTGTGGTATTCTACATGCCAGCAGTGTTTCCCTCTTTCCTCAAGCTCGACCGCTGCATTTCTCTTTGCATGTTTATGTGATTGGTGAAGTCCTTTGCATTGAACACCATGTTAACTTGAGACACTAGCTTGTAGGGATTTAATTTTTCTTAAGAGTCAGAATCTCACTTTTGGTCACAGAGAAAACATATCCTGAGGTTCTCTGCTGAACTGTATGGGACATGAAGGAAGAGTTTATATTTACACAAGGCTTTGCAATAATTCATAGGCTTGTCTGCAGGAGGTGTGCAGCTACATGAGAAATTCTATTTAATGGTGCTTTCCAGAAGAAACATCATTTGGATTTTGGGGAAGAATATGTATTTTTCTGTGGTTGAATTTTGCTCATTTTCTTTTCATTCATTTAGTGTGGTTAAAATTGCTGCCTACATGAATGTCATTGGCTTAGTTTTTGCTTCAAATCCAGTTTAGAGCAAACTGCAAGTTGTTCCCTTGTACAAATTATGTATTACTGAAACAGGTGGAAAGGGCTTAATATGGTTTTCAGAGAAATATAAAACAAGAGTTCTGTTCTTTTCCAGCAGAAAACAATAAAAAAAAATCACGCAACCTGAAATTTTTTGTAGCTTTAACCTAATGCGCTGCGTTTTTGAATCAGCAGATTCAGGATCAGTGTCAATGCAGTAGAATTATGCCATCCTTTCCCCACTGATTCCAACATAATTGTATGGTTTTATAGCAAATGAGTCCTGGCGTACCACTAGACTGCTTTAGACAGAAGAGAAGTCTAAGTCTTTTAGCGTAACATGTTTCATCTTCTGATTCTAGTTGATGTGTTCCCTCATTTGGCCATATTTTCTGATAAACCCTTTGTCCTTTACAGGTGAAAAACCTTATCAGTGTGATTTTAAGGACTGTGAACGAAGATTTTCTCGTTCAGACCAACTCAAACGGCACCAAAGACGACACACAGGTTTGTTGACAGCACATCTCTGCTCATTAGAGTTCATCTTTATATATGAATTGTGAGCCAAAAAGGATACTTCTAAACTTCTGATTTTCTGATGTTGTGTTTGCTCATACATGATACCTGTAGTGCCAAATTCTTGACGTTAGCTTTAGGAGAGGACTGTAGCTGAGTTTTTATGTTGGCATTTCAGTGCTACTATGGTTGTATAGGTGACCCTTTAATCCTGCTGCCATCTTTTTGAAACAGCTTTCTTAATGAAACCATGTGCTCTGTACTGTATCCCCAATAGAGGTAATATATTATTTTTAAAAACCAAACAGTTCTGCAAGAAAAAGTTACCAGTGAGTAACCTGATAGACATTACTGTATTCTGATGTTCATGTGGCAGGCTAACAGGTGAATGTTTCGAGACAGCCAAAACTACTTGTGAGTTCAGTCCAAATTCAGCAAGTTGTTTTTTCGTGCATACATCATTTTCTGGAAACGTCAAGATGGCCCATTTCAGCATGTCAGGAGTTCTTGGAGGTCTAGATTAGATTGACAGGGGAGAGAGCTGCCCTGCTCAAAATCACAGAAGAAGAGGTGATCATGACTCCAGCCTCCAAGCTGGGAGTGGAACCATGAGGGCACTCTGCATGGAACACAAGAAAGAATTTCTGAGTACTCTTCTACCTGAGTCACAGCAAGAAATTGCATTTGAGTCTCCTGTATCTCAGGGAGTGTCCAGACAGTTGGCTTACCCACTGTTCTGTGGTGGATTGGTTGACAGCGGGCTGAATATGAGCAGACAGTGTGCCCAGATGGCCAAGAAGGCCAACAGCATCCTGGCTTGTATCAGAAATAGTGTGGCCAGCAGGACTAGGGAAGTGACTGACCACTTGTACTCAGCACTGGTGAGGCCGCACCTCAAGTCCTGTGTTCAGTTTTGGGCCCCTCACTAGAAGAAAGACACCGAGTTGCTGGAGTGTGTCCAAAGAAGAGCAATGAAGCTGGTGAAGGGTCTAGAGAACAAGTCCTGTGAGGAGTTGCTGAGGGAACTGGGGTTGTTTAGCCTGGAGAAAAGGAGGCTGAGGGGAGACCTTACCACGCTATACAACTACCTGAAAGGAGTTTGTAGCCAGATGGGGGTTGGTCTCTTCTCCCAAGTAACAAGCGATAGGACAAGAGGAAATGGCCTCAAGTTGCGCCGGGGGAGGTTTAGATTGGATATTAGGAAAAGTTTCTTCACCGAAAGGGTTGTCAAGCACTGGAACAGGCTGCCCTGGGAAGTGGTTGAGTCACCACCACCCTTGGAGGGATTTAAAAGACGTGTAGATGTGGTGCTTAGGGACGTGGTTTAGTGGTGGACTAGGCAGTGTTAGGTTAATGGTTGGACTCGATCTTAAAAGGTCTTTTCCAACCTAAATGATTCTATGATTCTGTGATTTCTGCCTACTACTTCTCTTGCTAAAGATGTTCTATCCCACTTAAACAGTGTTACTGAGAGATGTAGGAAGTGTCTCTGAAAGCTGATGGTAAAAATACTCTGTTGGGATGATACATTTTTAGCAACTGCATACTAGAACATATCTGCATTAAGTGGTCCCCAAGACTTATGTGTAGTGTGTAAAGTAGAAGTATAAAGTAAGTTAAGCTATTGGGAGTATATAAAAATATACCTCTGCACTTCATCTTATGTCATATTTGCTCATAGATGATACCAATAGAGCCAAGCCACAGGATCAGAATTAACATCTGCAGATTCTCCTTAGTCCAACAGTGTAAGTGGGTGTTTGTTTATGATGGTGTTCTTTGGATGCTTCAGACCCAGACATTGGAAGAAGAGGCTAAAAAGGGGTGGTAGCCTGGCTAATCACTTTCTGTAATGTGTAGGCATGAAGCTGGGAGGAGTAGTTACAGTAACTAGTACAAAAAAATCCAGACTTTAGAAAATTCAGAAATAGCTGATTTCATTCACCCTTCCAACAGGCATTGGAATATCTGGATAGACTTTTTTTGTGTGTGTGTGTGTGTGTGTGTCTTTTCAGGTGTGAAGCCCTTCCAGTGTAAAACCTGTCAGAGAAAGTTCTCCAGATCTGATCATCTGAAGACTCATACCAGGACTCATACAGGTAAAACAAGTGCGTAAACTTTTCTTCACATTTATATTTCATTATTTTTAAAGTTTAAATCAATGTTGTTGTAAATTACATGATTAGAAAGTCTTTTAACCAGGAGTTAAATATTCAAAACAACAGAAAGAATTCCAGTGTGCTGATTTTTCAGTGTGACTACATTCCCTAAGTGTCATAGTCAGTTCACAAAGGGATTTAGGTGATTTTGGAAACTACACTTTCTTTCTTCATGTTTAAAGAAATTTCAGCTTGGCAAAATATATTTTGTCAGCTATTGTGAAATGAACATCATGGTCTCAGCCCACAAATGTCAAGTTGATCTACTGCCTTTACTGAAAAAACCCTACAAGACAGAAATTTTAATTCTAACTTCAGCCAAAGGTCTGTAATCTAAAGTATTCGTGCCTACTCATGCTTCTCCTAAGTGTCAGTTGAGCCTAATGCAGGATAGCACGGCAAAGCTCTTACTGTTGCTGCTTGTACTGTAATCTCTCCAGAAGATAAAAGGAGTGCCTTTTGCAAACTCACACTGACAGACACTAAAGTAAAAGCTTACTCAAATATTCAAGGACCTTTTTGCAGAAACTATAGTATTTGATATAAATACAGGGGAAAAAATAGGAGACCATTTTAGCCTACTTAGCCCTCATGTCAATGTAAACACCATTAAGGAGCAACTGCAGCAACCTCTATATTTTAGTTTTAAGTTTTAGAATTATTCCTATAAATTGACATTTTCCGTTCCCTTCCACTATGTATGCAGTATTTTTACCAAGTAATTGTTTACCGAGCACTTTGACATGTTATTAGATGTCACAGTGTTTTCTATGCTGGTGTTAACCTTTTAAATTCAGTCTCTGTACAGATGGACAAGGAGCCTGAAAATCTTTTTCTCTCTGCTAAGGATTCTTTTTTCTCTTCTGGACCATAAAAGCCACATATTTAAGACTTTCAAAAATAAAAACAGAAATTTTAATAAAGGAGATGATTCACCTGAGAACAATGGCATTTTCTGTGGCACTGGCCAAATAAATGCTTCAGGTAATGGCCATATCTGCACTTGCAATCTGCAAATGGTAAAGGGCATGGCTGTGTTCCTGGGTTCTCCCCATGGTTTCACGCTGAGCTGCAGGGCCTGGGTCTGCGTGCATTTGCATGAAGAAATTTTTTATTTTCTTAATCAGCAAGAGGTAACAAAATAGCAAGCGGTTGTCACATGCTAGCAAGCCAGGATAAACTCTATTCCCCATCAGATTTCATTGCTAACTGATCTGCTAATTCATGACTTTCATGACTCCAGTAGTTTTTTTATCCTAGATTAGCTAAATCAGGAAAGAACTTGCTTTCTTTTTTCTGGTGAAACTCATCTCTCCATTCTTCCTTGCTCCATGTGATGCAAGCCCACACCGCACTCACTGCTGAAAGCAGGCTCACTTGGGCACTGATAACCTCATAGCACAAACCTCTGCGTGGGCTTGCTGCCTGCCACTGGCTCAGGTTCTGTGCAAGCTCTGCAGCCCAGCTGCGTGCTGCTGTGATGATGCTCCTGTCGGCGGTTTTGGATGTGTCATGCTCCTTTGACTGTAAAATACACGTATCCTGAGGGGAATGAGCACGAGTGGTGGGTGGGGATTTTTCGTCTCCATCTTACCCTGTAGCTTCATTCCTCTTTCTTTCTTGTACCCCCTAAATTTTGCAACAAAACACCTAGCTCAAGTTAACTTGCTCCATGATAAATCTTGATGAAGCAAAGCACAGGTGACTTCCATCTAATTCCATCCTAATTTTAAGTCAACTGCCAAACTGTTTGTTAAGCAACAAATTCAGGGTTTCTTTTCCCCGCAAACAATTTTACTGTGACAGCAATCTTTGCTGTGAAAAGCAAAAAATAAATGAATGGAAAACTCCACACCTCTATATACATTTTTAGCAATGGAAATGTGATTTCTGATATGTACAGTGAAGCTGTACACAGTAATTTGTGCCCAGCCCAGAACTAACAGAGATTGCTGCCCCCTCTTGCAAGAGGAATTGCTTGTGAAACCAGAAATTGCGTGTGAAACAGCAAAACTGTGCTGCTTTTACTGTGGTAGTTCAGTGAAAAACTGGCCCGTAATAGATAACTCGCATCACTTCAGAGGATGGTTTTGCTAATGCTGCTGAGATGAAAGACGACCACTTTATACAATCTGAGATTTTTATCAGTAGCTCTGACCAGATCGATGTTGTCCCGTACTGTTTTATGCACTCATGTGAGATAGTTGATGCTTTTGCCAGCACGTATGTTAAGTGGCTAAAGTAGACTTTAACCCTCTTTCCTCCCCCTTTATATATATTGTACGGGATTTTGCAAACAGAAACACACAACATTTATGCCAGTCCCCAATCTCCTTTTGCCTGAGTTTGGATGTTTATGAAATGCACAAAGTGTGAGGCAAAGAAGAGGAAAAGATGTCTGGGTGAGCTCGTACCACTCCAGTGGGTCTTGAGTTGGAGAGTACAAGGTGTGTAGACAGCACAGAAGAGCCCAGTCCCAGAGCTGAACCTATTTTAAAATATTGCATCTATTTTGGGGGAAAAAAAAAAGAAAATGCAATTCTAAAAGAAACATGAGTCACTGGGCACTGCTCTGGGCTAACGAAAGCATTCCATCAGCATTCCTGCGGCATCAGAAACGTGGCCTGAAATTCCACTTAAACATTGTAGAAAATCGAGGGACTAGATTAAACTGTAAAGAGGTGATGGCATTTCTTCTTAAGATTGAATGTGCTTTACTTGCAGTCATTTTTAGTGAATGTTATGCTCATGAGAATGTTAGAAAAATACTGAATATTTTAAGCCTTTAACATCTCCCATAGATGTGAATCTACTTTATTTAGACAGTAGTGGGAAACTTTCAGTCTGGCTCAGCAGACTTCATGCTGAACTTTGTTTCTTCTACCACATTCACTTACACTCAGCAGTTTCAAAGAACTTCAGCCAAAACTCATAGAATTAGCTGGAAAAACTCTCCTTGACTTGAGGTCAAGCTCTGAATAGTCACTGACAATTTTCACAGTGACTAGCAGTATGTCTGCACCACAGCCCAAGGTGTGACTGAAGCTTGTATGAATGCCAATGACTTTTAAACTAGTTCATTCGAGAGCTGCGAGTAGCATAGACATGGCAACATGAGGTTCAGTAAGGGCCTGTCGTCAGGAATGAACCGCTGCAAAATGTTCTACGTCATCCGAAAAGTCTGTTGTTAAAGATCAGCTGAGGGAGATGTAAGAAAGCACGGAGCGCTGATGTGAGCAGGAATTGAGGGCACTCCCACGCCCTCTCAGGACAGCCCAGGATGTCATTCCTCCTGATGGGGCCTCTGCCTAGCTCCTCACAACCCTGCAGAAAGAAAACAAATAGGAGCATCTCAGGCGAGCTGTATACCCAGTTAATAACAGGGTGTTTTGTTAACAGGTGAAAAGCCTTTCAGTTGCCGGTGGCCCAGCTGTCAAAAAAAATTTGCCAGGTCTGATGAATTAGTTCGTCATCACAACATGCACCAGAGGAACATGACTAAACTGCAGTTGGCCCTTTAGACAGTTCAAACAAGTCAATAAACCAGATGGGACATTATGAGCTACTGCAAACTTTATCAGCCATCTTCGATCACCTCTGTCAGAAAGCTGCAGCTGTCTTCGCATCCCATTTGACACAAGTTAACTAAACCGTAGGATTCTGCTCAGCCTTGGCTTCCGTTCGGACTTATATAAATTCCTGTTCAATAAGTTCAAGAGATTTTTATTTGTAATTTTGTTTAAAAGTAAGCAAGATTGCCACAGTTTCAAGATTACTATAAACTGTGCTTACCTTCCACATCTGTATCAACTTTTCTGGTTTTATTTTCACTAAAAGTTTTCCAGGTACCTTTTTAAGTCCTGCAGTGAGTAGGGTGATTCCTCCCTGTTGACGGTAAGCTTTACGCTTATGACATCTGTGCATGTGCTGAAGTTTCCAAATGCTAGTACAGCTATCCTCACCAAATGAGACCGAACGCTCACCTGAGATACTTTTGGTAAACTTTGTACTTGTACTGCCAAAGGGCAAGCTTTTAAAGTTGGAAGCTCTGCTTTTGAACTTCACAAATCAAACCTTTTTTTAAGGGACGTATTTCTAGAGCAGCTAAAGCTAGATGAACCAGAGCTTCTCTGTACAGAAAATGAGAATCTTACCATTAAGTTAACTTGTTTTTTAAATAATCACATAATTGATCCCCCCCAAACTGTTTTGTTTGTCAAATAACTCTCTCCCTTTCTCTTTCTCTTTTTAATGTATTGGTTTAAATTTATTCTATCATGAGATTCATAGATCTCCTTTACACAAAACTAATTGCAATCATTGTAGACATTTGGGATTTGTTTACAATGTAAAGCCACACTGGTTATGTGGCTAGCAAGCTGTATAAACTTAAAACTGAACTTTTAATGGGGCTGGTCCAGGATCTCCATTAACAGATTACTCTTAAGATAAGTAACTTAAAAAGACTCTTTGTCAAGTATATGTGAAAAAGACATTATTAGTGTAAGGAAATATATTGTTTCAGGGTTTTGGGAGGAGGGGTTTATTATTTACTTTTAATTGCTTGAAATTGTTTGTATATATATATATCTGATAATGTATTGCTCTTAGACATCTAAAATTAGAAAGTGTATAAATATTAGATGCATCACTGTTCTGATGTTGTTGCTGTTACAAACTATTGATAACACTAAGAATGTAACCTGCATTTTTCACTGAGCTTTCAATTAAAGCCCATTCAAAGAGAAACAAATGAGAGTCCAACAGATGTCTTGTTTCATGTCTGGTATTAAATTTCAAATGCCCTGTCCAATAGTATCCTTTTTTTTTTTTTTTTTTTTTTTTGTATATAAAGGTACCACCAGCACTGATGACCACTAGTTAACCTGTCCAGGTCTTGACCACAATTTATCCATCTCACTTGGGAATCATACTGGCAGCAGCAAACAGTGTCAAGTTTCATATTGTGCTATAAAACAGTTGCTTCAATCGTTTGTCTTCTTACCAAACTATTCCTTTTCTTTCGACCTGTAAGATTTGTGTAAGAACTTTATAGAAGAGTAAAATCCAGTTTATAAATAGCAGCGCTGGCCTTCTGTAGAACTGTGCTGAAACCGTAAGCACAGATAACTTCTTAGATTAGGAAGCCATAGGCTGACTTTTAAGTAAAAGTTAACATAGAGTTGGGGTGGC